TCCAATATACACCTGGGCGCTGCTGCGAGCTACTTCTGAGCCCGACAACTATGGGTAGCTGCCGTTCCAAGAGAACGTAGATGGGGAGGTGATATAAGAAAACGTTCGATCTCAACCGGCCCAAACGGGCAACTATGCACAATACGTAGCCGTCGCACATCCACACCTGAGTCCCACCCCTTTCATGCACCGAAACAACGGCTATATCTACGTGCTAATCAGCAAGATTCCGCAGTCAGGCCACATCTCCGTCCAGAAATATTGTATTGCGTTAAAAATCCCATACTTAGTAGCTTGCAGTAGCTTATATGCTTTAAATTCATGTAAATTATTTATTTTCAGGCTACTAGTATTACAGAAGAGGAATTTGCTCCGTTCGCCGACTCTACATTGGCTAGTTCATTACGGACTCCGTACTCCGCGATATGCCGAGATGGTAGGACTTTGGAGGGTCATTTTAGCTGAAATCTCTGAAAGGAGTTGTGAAAGTGAGCAGACCGTCTTCATGGCATACAGGGGAAACGGGCAACATATCTCGGTAAAAGGGAGGAACGTCATGAAAAAATCACCATCTCAGCATCCTGTAACGGCAGCCAAAATCCTTGCCTGCGCGGCCACACGCTCAGTTGTGCTAAAGGTGTGCGGCCAACCTGTCTATCTGAGATAGACCATTTTCGTGGATAGCAGCTGATTTCCAAATGAAAACACATTCCGCTGCTATTGCATGGGCGGAGGCAGAGAGCAACTGCGCTTCACCCATTGGGGTGTCTCCCATCCAGAGCCGTGTTCAGATTTCGCGATAACGCACGTCGAGGCCCTACCACCTCAGATAAGTATCGATTCAGCTGGTGTAAGCTCAAAACTCTGAGCAAAGTATGACTACTGCACTTTCACAGTACTTGCAATGTGCCTTGAAGTCATGTTCTTCGTCGTCTCAATCTCCCACGGATGGTTTCAGTAAGAATGTGACTCCGCTTTTGGTACTACATACAAAGCGAGCGAATATTCTTATGGTTAGTTTCTCTTATGAGGGAATGGTTCCCTGTGTATGCTTCGTTCTTTTTCCAAAACTCTTTTTACCTGAATATGTCAAATAATTGTCCTATCTAAGGCCGACACCGAGGGTGGGTTGCCCAATTAGAAAATGGGGTGGCAAGTGATCTTGCCACACGAGGCCTGCAGTACCCTCTAATGCAGTCCGATTGAAGGGAATCCCAGAAATGAGCTCAGAGAAAACGAAACCTTCGTTATTTTTTCATTCGACTGATATATTCATGGTGCTTAAGGAAACGGCAAGATCGTTGGTGTCGCCTTACACTCAGTACATCGACGTGACGAACCTGTTAATCCTGAACTCATTGGGAGAGCAAATCAAGCGCCCGGAAATAAATGCCATTGGTAAGTTCCAGTTAAAAGTCAAATATATGAAAATGAAGCTAGCGCTGAAAGCAGCTCACACCAGATCTCGCTTGAAGCTTCGCATGGCAGTGGTGCTGTGATGCGAGATCCAATGCAACAGAACAGAAGACTTGTAAAACGTCAGCTTCCCCCCCCCCCTTCCTCCCTTTGCAACTGCCTTAGTGATTAGCGCAATGGAGTAAGCAGCAAACTCACGACGGAATCACTCACGACTCCTTTCGCGCGACCGTGATTGGGTGGGCAGGGGTTCAGCCCGAGGTCGTTAAGTTCTCTATCACTGTAGATCACCCTGTTGAGCTCCTCTCGGACTGGTAATCGAGATGTTTAGGTCAGATGACACACTTGGATATTCCGCCTTCTTCAAGTTCTCAAGCCTGGCACCTATTCTAAGTATGGGGGCGAGAGTTTTTCCCAACTGCCGCTTCGATACGCGATGTGGTGCCACTTCACTGTACTCAGCCCCACTGCAGTACGACGTTTCGGCAGAAATGCAGCAAGACATGGAGGCGGGATATTCTCCACGAGGTTGGTCGATGTTACCGCAGCGCTCACGTGCCGGTGTCCCCAACGAAGAAGAATTCGGTCTCCGGTCCCATTCTAGAACCTTCCGGTCGAAACCATAAACCCGTGCTTTGGCGGCTGCGGTGAAGCTGATATGCTGGACCGCAGCGACTTTGTCGGAGCTGCTCGATGTTGGAGGTCTACCAGATCAAGAGTACAGGTCCCAGGTAGCAGCTGTTCATGGATGACCCAATGCAATAAGCTTCGAAGCCGGCTTTGAGGTGAGTGTACTCATAAAGGCCCTTCTCCAGTCAGGCTGCGATTGGAGATGGCTTCATATTTTGGTGTACGTGAAGGTGATGGACGCTCCTGCTTATCGAGGAACACCTTGGGTATCTTCTGCCCTGGTACTCGTATCCACCCTCGTATCCGTCTTGGGCGGCGTAAACTTTTACTGATAATGTATGTGACTCGGCGCCCAGCGTCTTTTTTGCACCCTCCTGTACATCCAGAGATCACGACATCGAATTAGTTTAGTCAATGTGGAAGATATGCTTCACACCGCCAGAATGAGCTGCAGGCGTATTCTCTTCCACATCAGTGCATTATTTAATAGTCGCTAGTATCTTTGGAGGAAGTAATCTCGATCAGTGGTATATTTAGCTTCGATATGTAACGATTGCCATGGTAGCATATGGAAATTACTTGATCCAGAAATAAACACTATACTCGAACTGTAAGTTCTTTTAGTTTTCGAAATATTTTTTGATCGCTCTGCAAAATTTCTACATTCAGGGATATTATCAGTGTTGCAGAAAAATATCAACGGCGAGGTATTGCGCGAAAAATGCTTGAGAAATCTCAATCACCGCAGATGCTTCAGGTGACTCCGCTTGGTAATTAAGTAATAGTTATTAAAGGCCATAATGAGCCAGGATGATGGCCCACCTATCTTAAGCTCATCAGTATTGTAGTGCAGAAGCATAACGACGTTGAAGCTATATTCAGGAGAACAACATCCAAGGAATTGTCACCCAAGCAACATCACTTGCCAATCAAACATTGCTACAAAAGCTAGGGCATAAGGTATGTTCTTGTACTTCTGGTAACAGATTGTAATTTTTCAAGTCGATTCCAGTGGGAGCTTCAAAGAACATCACTTGCCAATCAAACATTGCATTGCAACTTCTGTTCTGCACTTGCCTTTAGACGGAAACCGAGCAAGCTCTGTTGTCCCTCCCAGTACTCGGCCTAAGAGTGGAGCTTAGCACGAGAATCTCAATGTGAGGGCATAAACGAGCTCCTTGGTTTTGCCGTAGTACTGGGAGGGACAACAGAACCCGTAGGGTATTCTTCCTCATATGGCGTCGCTATGACGAGGCTATTTCAACTATTCTTCATGAATTTGAGCTTGGTTCGACTAACGATATCAAATTTTCTCCACTTCAGGTTCTTATGGATGTGCCTTTCACACATTATGTTGATGAAAGAGGTACACAGCTCATCAGACCTCTTGACGGGACGCAATTTGTGAAACTCTTTTGGAAACCTAATCAGTTTTCTTAATAAAATTTGTATGTAGTGTTTCAAGAAACAGTATTGAGAGCAGTTTCCGCTATGGTCTCATTTTGATAGCTCGGTGAAATTCAAGTATGGTGTGTTTTCTTCAAGTAGGTAGGTATACTAGAGACGCGGCATCACGCAGAAACTAGCAGTCTCTAATTAGCTGACTCGACATGTAGCTGCAGTGCTATGTACGTTGATTTAACTAGGTCCTGGTGTGGATGCCGCGCTTGTGGGTAGGTTTATAAAGCCTCTTTTCCCGCCCATACCACGGCTCCGAAATCCTGAGCTACATCCCATGTGGTGTCTATGAGAATGTGTTTTCACGTACCATCTAGCACATTTTAGACTTTTGGCATTTTAGAGTTCCCAGAAGATTCTGCAGAGGCAAACGGTATCGTCAGGAGTAAAGTTGGAGTTGTTCAAAAAGACCTGGAAATTCACTGAAAGCCTTAATGATCGCCCATGCAAGTCGGAAAGACAAGCAGTGAGGAGAATGGTTCTGGCGCAGCCTTCCGAGCCTCAGTACGACAACTGTGCTCCTGCCAGGAGGGAGAGAAGGGTGCCGCAGCGTTACTGATCCGAGTAGCGCTCGGCATGCAGGGCTGGCAGCATTCGCAGTCAAGATCTTAAGCGCGTCCTGCAGCGTCAGGTGCTAGCGCGCGTCGACCATGCTCAGTGTCAAGCACCTCCAAGTCGATAGCTGATCTCTCTTTGTATCAGTGTCGCAGTCAACTATCCACGAAGAGAACTACTGCTTAGTGCACGTATGGCAGCGAATTGGGAAAGTAATGCTCACTCACGGTAATAAACCGCTCCCTGCACAAAAGTGTGAGCACTAGATACTGTGAGGCGGCGCTTCTAACTGCGAGAAACTCAAAGGACAATCTTGTACACTCACCCTAGGGACGGTACCTTTGCCATATGACGAGAAATGAATGGGCCGAGGAACAGCACTGGCGAAAGTCGGGAGACGGCAACCCGTGGCATCCATTTTCCGTGGCACCTTCTTTCTGAGAAAGCGCGGCACGTGGTAGCTGCGAAACATTAACCTCTCATGTTGGCAAGGACGGGATGCCACGGATTGTATGTCTGTTGTTTTTGCTCTCGGAAATGGAAAACGAGGAAAGGCCTAGTTTGAAGGGATCCGGATGGATCAGCCACTTCTTGTTTATTATTAAAAAGCTATACTCACGTATAACAAAGAAATAATTTCCATAAAGCGCCTTTAAAACTGATATGTAAAAGCATTCGATGACAGTGACAAGAATCACATTCAGAGGAGCAAAGGTAGGATTGAAACGAGCGTAACGGCAAACTAATAAGTGACAGTCGCCTAATTATCATTAATTTGCACAACACACATTGTTCGCGTTACAGTAGTAGCCATCCGGACACTGGCCATTGACGCATGGACCTGAAACGATAAGTCTGAAATAAGAGGAGGTGAAGCTCCCTGCACGTTGGGTTTCAACTGAGGAGATCTACGTTGCGGTGACGCGCAATAACTAGCTGATTGACCGCCCATGCTGTAGCGCTTTCATGTTAAATCAACTGGGTACTGCTGCCAAGGCAAAGCACGTGACGCGACTTGCAACGCAATGCGACGTTCGTAGATCTGCCAATCGATACAACTTTTATGAATTACTCATTACTCTTACATTTCTGAAAAGCAAAACAGCGCGGATAGTTCGATATTCCGTAGTCAACAGGCATTGCACCTACTATTCCTGGGGTTAACACCTAAGAAATCATAGATGATCACGGCTCAAACTCGGTGAACTTTACCTGTGACTCATTGTTCTGGAATCCTCCAGTGTTATCTATCGAGAATGTTTCCATTCCGCAGCTTCTCCGTTCTCCCACGCAATTGACATACGAGTTGAGAGGGGAACATTGATGACCACGCCGCGAGGGATGAATGGACTTGTCAGAGCACTGTGGGCCACAGGGCACGTCGTATGTCGGAAATCCCCAGCAAGGAGAAGGGGCCGCATTTGGTAGCTGAGAGGGTGGGGGGGGGGAGTCCGTGCCTGCCATTTGAAGAAAAAATGTCAATGTCAAGGCGCTCTGTACTTCCCCGCCTCCTCGCAGAAGGGCCGTTTTTTTGGAGAACTGGAGAACTGCCTACAGAAAAAAAACTCTGGAGGAAGTGGGGGGGGGGGGGGGAGGGGGGGGGGGGGGAAGCGAGAAAGTTCAGGAAGATGGTTGCTACTGGGACAGGTATGAGGAACCAGGGGTCGTACCAGAGGAACAAATTTGCTAGGGTCCTATTGTGCAGAAATGATCCCCAAGCAGAGCACGCCATCGCGTTGTGTTCATTTCCCGAAAAATACGACCCCCCTCTCTCAACCCCGAAAAATACGACCCCTCAAAAATACGAAGTGCCCTCTCCTCAAACAACGGCGAAGATACGCGCGCCGCCCCCCTTTTAACAGCCGTCCGTGAAAAGCAAGAGAAATGCAACTAGCCAAAAAAAAATTTTCCCAAGACCAAATTCGACCTCCTCCCACTCATTCGCGGTCGAATACGGCCCTCCTCCCCCTCGTTGTGATCATAATGACGATGGCGTGCTCTGTCAACAAGGGCAGGAAGTGCTCTGGCAGGCCGAGAACTATGGACAAGAGGCACCTCTGACAAATTTTCTAATTTCCACCTTCTTCTGGTGTAACTTTTCTAGCCATGATAAGCTGTTAATCCTTTCCTGCATGAAATAGACTTGTTCGTCCAATAAGGAGGGTAGAGTCCAAAAGAACAAGTTACGAGGCTGTTATATAACTCGTCATCCGGGCAGTTGATTAGGGCGGTCGTCAACGGGCCGCAGCGCGTGCCAGGAACTATTTGCTTTTTCCAGGCTAATTTAGTCATTTTTTCCACCTTGTGAAGATAAGGAGCTGCTAATCTGGGAAAAAGTAGCCAAAACAGTGAAAAGTTGGAAAAAATGACTAAATTAGCCTGGAAAAAGCAAATAGTTCCTGGCACGCGCTGCGGCCCGTTGACGACCGCCCTAATCAACTGCCCGGATGACGAGGGTACGTCTCCTCGTCGCGACGTGCAGCCGAGCCCCTGAGCAGCGCGGCCACCGTGATAAAAGGTTGAATCACTTGATGTTGCAGTGAAACCCCAACGACAAGCCGGTTTCTACCCTGTTGTCAAGGTCAAAGACACAATCCTGACGCTGCGCTCCACAATTGAATACTCCGGAGCTTAGGACCGGCTGTGCTCTCATAAAAATCCAAAGCGAATGAAATGGTAGGGTCGTTATGTTGCCCAGTTTCACGAGCTGGGCAGAATCACAAACCGAAAACGATGAAACCGGTTGGGGAGAGGGCACGCAATGGTCCCCACGTCGAGCGATTCCATGTTATTTGGGCACGTGCAAAATTACGTCGCGCGCGCGAAAGTGAGTCATTTCCTGTCGCGCGCGTCCGATGCACCACTTCTCTTGGCCTGAACCTGAAAGAATAAGTAACAAACCAATGCATCGTTGTGCTTGCGTTGCTCCTGGAAGGCCGGTACCAGTCGACGGTGTGATAATCGACGGATAGTAGATAAAAGGTACGTAGGAGTAAGTATACGTTGTTGTTGTGTAGCAGTTTACGTAGCATGGACCACATGCTGAAAGGTCCCATTGGCAACAACGAATTGGAAACGATTTGCGCTGTGGGAGAGCCTACGGTGCAGTTTTCCGTAAAAGTTACGCTATTGTGCAATTTTCAAGGGAAAGGAACCGACCATCAACTCCAACATTCCAATTATAATATAGCAGAAGGTGAAAATTGTGGGTCACCGTAACCACGACGAAAAACTACAGACTGGA